TGTTCCTTCATGAATGCCCTAGCATTTACTAGATAGGGTAGCTGGTATATATATAAGAGGGTGACAACGTGACGGGGAGTAATGTGTGCGTAGATAGTGAGTAATTGAACTGCAGTCAGAAGTATTGTTGACGTTCTTTGATATAGCGTTTGTTATAGAGCGACTGTTGAAAATAAGTGTATGTAAAGTTGTATTCGGAAAGAATAAACCAGTTTTATTAAGTAAGGACTTGTGTCGCTAAAGTTTCGTCGGAACGAAGTTACGGAAAGTTAATTAACAAACGGAGACGTAACAGTATTACTTGATTTAGCCTTAGGTGAACACAAGGGTCAATGGTTTCTCGACTTTCCAACAGCTAGGATGTGTCATCAATATGTTGAAAGAGTACACGCCACTTGTATATGTGCTAATGACTGTCATGATACTGTTTGGATTAAATATTAGTGATTAATTTATATTTGTGAGTGAATATTTTATTACTTTTAAGTTTTCTTATAACAAGAGTTAAAAACAGAAGACTGTAGAAGGTTTTGTTAATAACTAATTGGTGTCGAGAATATAGAAAGTGGCCAGAGGACTATGTAATAAAGATATAAATAGCATGAGACGAGCGGAAAGCAGCAGACAGACAGTATTAGACAGATAAAAGCAAAGGGAATATAGTTAGTTTGAAGTGAAGTAACGTAGATGTGATAGGCCTAACGTTTAATATGTTAGAGTGAAACTAGCAGTATAAAAAAAGTTTATATAAGAAGGATAATTTTATTCCGTCAAAGCGTGGTTCTAAAGCAATTGAATCAACCTGGGTACACTTTGACAAAAGGAACAGAGGATCTTCAGAAGAAAAAAAACCGAACGAATTACGGTAACTTGCGCCACAACTGTAAGTGAATCACACACACAGAATACTAGTACGATAGTAATGTAGAGAAGATAGTTCGACTTGTCAACTGAAATTCCAAAGTACTTGAATAGGCCTAAGTTGATTTTTGACAAGAAGAAGAGAACTATATATAAATAGTGTTTATGATATGCCTGTAATCTCTAAAGTGTGAAAAATTTGTTGTACATACTGTTGCGTAACTGCTTGTTTGTTAATTTCCCGTTAGAAATTTTATCCGAAGAACTTCAGCGATACAAGTCCCTTCTTATACTTCCTCGATACAAACTTTTAGCACACAATAATTTCACAATCAGTACGTCTCTCGTCACTTTAAACTTAACTACTTTTATAATACACGCTATAAATCACAGTGATTCACAATCTCGATAACTTTTCTCTCTACGGGTACAGACATACATTTCATATTACCGTCAGTACTGTTCGCTTCTTTAATTATCTATATATCGCTGGCTTCTCTGCCAGGCTTATATACTAAAGAAGAGGGCGTCTCGAACTCACTAGGAAATTCATGATCATTCGAGAAACTCCTCGCGCACGCCACAAGCGCCAATACGCCAGCAGCGTCACGTGACTTCCGCTGTTGTAACAATACATTTAACTTGCTCGGAATATTTATATATTATTTGAAAACAAGTAAAATGTGTGCTGTTTATTTATCATTGAATTTATCGCTAACAAGTCACAGACACCTATTGTAGAAGAATCCTAAGCCTAACAACGACATAGTATATATTTATACTATTAAGAAATATAAGTAAAAGCCATTTATTTCGACAATTGGCAAAAAGAAGAACTTGTATATATTGTAATATATATATATATTATTTTTAAAATCTGACAATATCAGATCGAGCAGTTTCTCATTGAGAAACATATAACAGTAAAAATGGTAAGAATATTACTTATCGACCCTATGTGCATAAAGTTTCAGTAAGCAAGAAAGAAGCTTTGGACAAAGATTTGTTAAAATATCTACAGAAAGGTAAGAATAGTAATGGTTAAACATTTACACAGATCCTTTAAACTTTAGTGGAACAAATCAACTATAAATTTAAAAATGAAATTTAAATAAACATCCTTTTCAGGACTATTATATGTTTTATATTAATTATATAAATGAATTAGCAATAGGTGTTTTACATATAAAACATTAGAAAGTGCAAAGTGTATGTCATGCAAGTTAAATATAGAAGCAAAAAACTAAATAACCAATGAATTAATGAAGTATTGCATACATAAAGTGATGAATAACTGTAAAAGCATGTAAGGTAAATTATTTGGCATAATATTTGTTTCATTCAAGCAATAGATAATATGTGTGATAAAAATTAACATATGTAACAATGCTATAATAATTATCTCATTAAAATAACGATTTTACTTGTAAAAGCAAAACAGCAAATGTGTTAAACTCCTACATAACTATATAAACACTGTCCTTAGTTACACTAAAATACACACAATACACATAATAAGACCATCTACCTATTCAAACGCTATATGTAGTAACACAGTCCACCTAGTAACATTATCTGCCTATACAAACACTATCTTTAGTAACACAGTCCACCTACAGAACCTTGGTAATGGTATCTGCCTAAAATCAATAAAAATATTATAGTTTTACTAATAAAACACAGATGTTGGTGCCATTTTGAGACACTGTACGATGATCTCATCATTCTATTGAACTATCCACCTATTCAAACACAGTCCTTACTCACACTGTTTGCCTTTGTAAAATGCACACAATATATATAAGAGAAAACTATAAGGTTGGTAAGAATAAAATAACAGATTTAATGGTTACTTATAAAGTGATACTGTAATAGTAAATTAGATTAAGTTATTAATTCTGAGACTTTGATTATTACTGTAAAGTTAATGTTATGTTGAAGTATCTGAGCACTAATCATACCAACACGTCATCTGAACCACTTTGTCGCCATAGCAACGTCCATGAGAATTTCCACTTTTCATGGCAGCCTAGCAACATGCTCCTAGCAATGTGCCATCTGGTGAAATTTCGTAGACCTATGAGGTCATCATTTCTACCCCTCCCCATTGCCTGAGGTCGACACACATGTCGCCCTTTAGTGACATACGATGCGTTCAATCGGTGTAACTACTCTTGTGGCTAGTGTCCACGAAAAACATTTAATGATCTTCTTATCAACCTATTGCTTATTGTAGATAAATGTATTGATTATACTCTATTCTACTTTCTAGAAACTATAGTGGTTAATCTAAACTTTTGTAAAACTTCAGAAAAATAACAGTTTTCTACAAAGCTTAGCTCCAAATTTTATTAGTGTAACTTTCACAATTCATCGCCCATTCGTGGTCAATTTGTAAAGGCACTTACGGGTGCATAAATCCTCTAATCTAATTTCCTAGTGGCATGTAAAGAGTTAGTTCATACATTAAAGAAATAGATGCTTTCTGTTTTAAAATATCTTAGCAGAGAGTTTATGATAATTCCATATCTCTGCTGGCTGCGAAACCCCAATAATTCGTTCAAGGCAACAAGTAATATGTTTTATGACCTTAATACAAAGTCCAATCTAGGAATACCATCTAGAATCGTCTTAGCCGTTGCTAAAATAACAGTTACTACGATTAATTATTTCAAAATAAAGACGAAACAGCACACTATTTTGTGATCTCAAAATTCCTATTTAAAAATCAGATATTATTCTAGTTAATTATATCGTAAATACAATGTAAAAATTCGAGTAATAAATTGCACAAATGATAAAGAAAGTTCTAGTTTCTATCCGTTGCAGTCGGCCTCACCGAGCAGTCAGATTTGTGAAAAGAAGAGTGGGAAATTTAATCATCAATAATGCAGAATATAGGGATGGAGCAGGAATACACAGGAAATTTTTTACATACATTATTTTTACTTGAAAAAGCAACTAAGAAACAATTAATACAAAACATGCAAATAAAAAAAGTATAATTACCTGTGATAGCATCATCAACATGTATCGAGCACCTCTTTCTTTAAAGCTGTAAACAAATTATAAAGCCATTAAAACGTTGACTATAGTCGACAAGGGAACAATAAACTTATCCTCCCAGAGGTTGTTGTTATTAGGTAATTATATAGGTGTGACTTAATACCCAAATTTTAAGAATACATATTATTATTAAAACAATAGTAGTTTCACATAAAAACCTTATTTTTAGCACTCCTGTCAATGTTGTAGCAGCAGTCATACGGAAAGTATTTACATTTATTGTTCTCTGCTATGACACTGCCAAAAACCTTTTCTAATGCTAATAAACACAGTAATATTAAAAGCTAAGCGTTAGAATAGTTTGAAGAGTTTGGTGTTATAACAATTTTAATTAGTATTAAAATAATTTTAGTTATTAAGAAATAAACACTTCGTTTTTAAAGCTCCAATGTGTTGGTTAATCTAGTTAGTTAGCTACTATAATATTTTACGTCGTTAGATGAACAGTAAATAATTATTTGTCTTACATTTAAGTTACCACCTTACCTTCCTGTGTATTGTAGATAATCTTTCTTGAAGTACAGGTTACATTGTAGTGTAGGGGACATGTTGGATTTCTGGTTCAGAACATGTATGGTGACATAGAAAGAATGGAGATTAACAATATTGTTGTTGTGCTACTAAAGCAAAATAAAGTTTTTTTTGTTATCCCTATCATTATAGATATTTTTACACGTAATCATCATCAAGTCTAATGCATGGTAAGATTATATAATTCGTCATAAATTTCGATGATTGCTATGATTAATTGCTATTGTTCTATATAAATGAAGCACTTGTTGTAAATCTTTAAGTTTCATTTTTGTTACAAGCCTTAGATTTCTTTTTGACTCGCAAAAGCTGACTTTTTCTCATGATTACTGCCTTCCAGTAGTTTAGTGGTAAGTTTGGAAGCTTTCTACCTTGGAATTCGGTGTTTGATCCTTATGCTGGATACAGCGCAGACAGCTCATTGGGCAGCTTTGTTCTAATAAAAATATAAAACACATAGTAAATTATTTAGTTTTTACCTTCCCCAGAAATATAGTATATTATCGTATTTCTATGGGACGAGGAAGTCTATGTTAATGCTACGACAGCGGAAGTCACGTGACGCTGGTAACACGTCATGAGCTTCTAGAACGTTCACGTCCCTTTCTGAAGTCTCGAGAGGCTACTAGATATGCAATAGTATTGTATATATAAGCCGCCAAGAATTGACGGCAACAATGTGTAATTGAATTGCGGACAGAGGGAGACGCATTGTTGAGTCGAGCACGTGAGACGTTCGTTGTGAATTATAGCGTTTGTTATAACACGACTGCGGAAATTAAGTGTATTGCAAAGTTGTATTCAGAAAGAATAAACGAGTTTTATTTAAGAAAGGACTTGTATCGCTAAAGTTTCTTTGGAAAGAATTTTTACGGAAAATTAACTAACGACCAGAGACGTAACATTAAAAATATAAAGCATTAGTTAAATATACAGTGTGTTCACTATTTATTCTAACAATACAAATTCATTCGCTTCGGCTTTACAGCTCTTTCCACTGCCACTGTCAATCGGGTTCTATGTGATGGCTCTGATTATAGACTACTGTTGTGTAGTGGAATTTTCATTGCAGAAGGCTTTTGTGCAATACAGGCACACGAATCATGGACTATGAAAGTACACAGGGAGGAGGACGTCCACATTAAAATCAGGTTACATTCAGAGATTAGAGAAAAACGTTATGATGGAATCTGTACATTACCAAGCTGACGTTCTGACATCACTAAGCCACAAAACCTACAATCATTTTGTGGATTAGATACACAACAAAGCACTCAGACACACATACAAGTCAACATGCCATTCTTCTTCAAAATGCAAATTTAAGCTGTAGTTGATGCAAACATCTTTTATGGACTTCTATACCTTTCGTTTGCTCAAAAGGTCTCAAGAAGTTATCGTAGTGCAACCACTATAAACCCATTGGGAAAACGTTTTCGGGATGGTCTGTACCATTTTGAAATGTTTCACCACCGCAGAACGATAACAAATTGTTTGGGGTTTTGTGGATACTTTAAAAGATATATGTTCACTTCAATAAGATTGTCTCCATTCATTTCTCACATGCCAGTTATTATTTATACAAATTTTGAGAATTAATGTACCGGTCAATTATGTGCTTTAGGGAGAGTATTTGAGCCAGGATCTAGTGTTAATTTTATATCTTGTTTACAGTCTGAGGGAGGTTTCTACTATAGCCACCCCAATTGTATTCTTTAGTTACTTCTGTTGACAAGCTATTTACTATTCTCTACTACCTATGGCGTTTGACTAGTAGCTGTTTGTGGAGTAGTCCAATAGTTCCTACCAGAACCACGCCTTCCCTTGCTTTACCAATGCTGTTCAGCACGACAAATGTCCATTTTCTGGAAATACTAAAGCATTTGTGTCTTTCTTGCTTTCCGAATAGGACATCTTGGCGTCAGCAAGTCCTGTGATGTAATCCTTCCATGATGGTTAAATTTTCTGTAATGTAAACCTTTTTTGTAATCTAAATTCTAGGCACTCGCTAAACTTCAAATTAGTTGCAATAAAAGTGTCAAAGCTTGTAACACCTATAATCACATGCCAAGGGGGGATTGTCCAGGGACAAGCCTATTCATTATACAAAATATTATGGTAGATCGCGAGAAACTCTTTGTAGAGATATATGTAAACATTATGTTCTCAGGGTTTATAGTATATCATTCAGTGATCTTGACACAACAAAATGATCTAAAACTCACACTTTTTCGTATATGACTGACGTCATCCGAACATTTTCAGCGATACACTTTTCTAGGAATAATGTATCGTATTACGTATAATAGCTTCATTAGTCATCATGGCTTTCTGTATACTAATAATTAATAAAGCTTCCTTTTCTAAACTAACTGAATATTTGTATTATTTTGCATATATAATTTACGTACACAAAATGCTTGCGGTCAATTTATCAGTTTTTGTTTTTTCTAACATCGAAACTCGCTTGAATTTGCTTATACTGAAGTTTGCTGTTAGTCATCATGGTTTGTGCACAAGATAATCGAATAAATAAAATTTTATCCTATTGGTGTTATATTTTTCAATACTTTATTTTGAGGTCATTCAAAAACTAAACCGGAAACAAAAACATTTTCATTAGAAAGACTTGTTTATTTGCTTTGTTGTTGAGCACAAAGCTACACAATGGGCTATCCATGCTCTGTTCATCGTGGGTATCGAAACCAGATCTTGTTCGACATAAGCCCTCACACTTACCGCTAAACGCCCGGGAGGGCATTAAAAACTACTACCATTGTAAGAGGTTTCTAGTTAATATGGATTATCGTTAGATAAACAGGACAAAATGGAAATTGTAAGCAATAAGCAACACATCGTGTTAATAATGCTACTAAATACTGTATGAGAATTACTTTGTATAGTGTCTTCAGGATATAATATGTGATAAAAATATACACACACTACTAGCAAAAGTACATAAAAATATAAGTACGCATTATACCATACAGGGAGTTTTTATAATTCCTCCTTTAATAATGTATGCAGCTGAGCAGATGTCTTTGAATTTAACTTTTACTGGTTTTAAAGGATCACATTCTGGATCAAAAAAACGTTCTTGAGGTTCTGTTTCTGTCGAAGGACTTGGAGGTGGAGTAGAAGAATCATTTTCACTGTCTCTTTCAAGTTCAACATAGGCTGGCGTGCACATGGAGTCTGCTGTGCTATTGTCTGAGCATTCCTAAAAAACAACAAAACAACAACAACGTGTATTTCATAAATGTATATCATTGTCTATCTTTCTTCGTTATTTACAATGAGGGAACAAGTACGTGTGTATACACACAGATATATATATACATATATATACATATACTGTCCTGCCAAAATTATCCATGCACCCGTTGAGTACGTAATATAACCTACTAAGCACACCTTGCGAGAGAGAACTCAATGAGATAAATATTATCATCGCCAATATACAGTATTGTTTCTCTAAAGTTCTTGCACAAATGATGCCTACCATATTATTCAATCTTCCCACTTCAAAACCAGTAAATATTATTTTCGATTGATGAATAAGAATTTATTCTGGTATCACCTACTAAAAATGGCAAAAATACTTTATCGAAGTCGTTTATTGGTACGACTAAAACTACTCTAAAAGCAAAACAAATCAATATTTAGTCAATTGATAAGAACTTCTGCCAGAGAAGGAGTGATATGCTAACATGGCTTAAATTTCATTCACTCGGACTCGGATGAGAATAAAAATTGTGTAACAAATAAATGAGAAAATATGCTTACTATTAATGAAACTATTCGATTGATGAACTATAATCCTGACAAAGCATGTTACAAAAAACTTTTAATCCTGCACGACAGGAAACTTTCACAACAAACGAGAATCTATCGCGATTATTGAATATTCCCATTTTGTGATTTTTTGTCAAGTTGTATATCGACAAACATGAAGAATTTTTTACTGCCTTCTCTTCGCATTATTTTATAATATTACAGATAATTTGAAATGTGCACTGAAAAGTGCTACGACGGGACTCCACGACTGTAGGGAGGAAAGCCTATACTTTGGGCAGTCTAAACTCCTATAACATGTAAATAAAATAATTTGTTTCTTTGTAGTTTAAACACAAAGTAACACAGTGGGCCATCTATGATCTACCCACCAAGGGTTTCTAGCGTTGTAAGTCCGCAGACATGCCGCTGTGCCACAGGGCGAGGACAAATAAAATAAAATATAAATACAAGACTGTCATGTACAAAGCACACCACCCATTCCCGCATGCTTTATAAGCCATGTAGTGTACAAGGATGACAGTTTCTAAGTGCACATTTTAACAGTCTTTGGAATAGCATGAACAACCATTTCATTCTCCAGTTGTTTGAGACATGTGATGATTGAATGTGCATCTCATGGAAACAAGTTTTATATATGTGACATGTGTCACTTTTCCAAATGGAGATTTTTTTTAGTTATCTTGCATACTGTTGCCCGCTAGATGAGAAGGGCTTTTGCCACTGAATTTTGTGCTCGTGGAATCTCACCTATTACAAAATTCTGTGCTCTGTTTACCATGCCAAGACATGAATTGTTCCAGATCTCTTTGTGGATGGGTCTGGTACTCAAAATTGAACCATATTCCTTTGCTTTACAATGCTATTAAATATAAGGGATGTACACATCTTTGAAATTTTATATCCCCAATCTGAAACATCTTTATGGCCTTAGTGTATGAATATAATGAATCAGAAAGGGCTGTTATGTACCATTTCCAAAAGTGGTCAATTTTTGTTGGCATCACTTTACCTACAAATTGCCGAATAATGTCAAAATTCAGTTTTGATACAATCTGTTCTACCATGACTTACATCAACTATGGCTGTCATGTGACTTGCTGATTTGTAGTTTCAAAATCGTTTTAACAAAACATACTCAACCCTCTATATAGCTGAGTGTCTGATTCAATATACAAAGAAAGTATATGTTTTCATATTGTGTTCATTGTGTTCAGTCTCTTTTCTTCGACTTCAGATTTAACTCTGTGCAACAATTTCTATCATTCTTCCACTTATTCACGTCTGGCGAGCGAAGTGAGGCAGATCTGAGTATAAAAATTGGGGGTAAAGTCGTTCTTCACATATACGCTATACATATTAACCAATACCGGTGCGGTAACTATGAAATATATAGGAAAACTATCTGTCTGTCTGTGGATGAATGTCCTCCTAAACGAGTTGACCGATCTATACCAAACTTGGCGTGCTACCTTAGCAGCCCAAAAACAAATCAAATTCATATTAATATTTTCAATGTATTGAAAAAATAGAAATATTTTATAGAATAACCCTATATCGTGACTGCAGTACCTGTTGTAAATAGTTGAGTTTGAACACAACCAACACCTCAACAAAATTCTACAAGTCAAAGATTGTAAATAAAATTTTCAGCATTTTGGCTTGTGTCCAATAATAACCAAAATATACAGTAATAAAATATCTAGCTACAATGTGTAGAATATTTTCTTCTTCTTCTTCATCAAGATTCGGTCCATGTTTTGGATCAGGGAGGGTCAGGTCTCTTTCTCCCTCTCAGGACTTGTTATTTTGTTTGCGCTGTTACTAAATAATAGGTAATAATCCTTGTTACGTTGTTGCATTATTCACATTATATTATATTTTGTCCATTGTCTACAGTTTTAATTAACATACCTTTTTCGTGCCATGTCCAGTTCATGGGGGTAATATTAATTTGTATATTTTTACTAGCTTCACTTATGTGTGACGCACTATTTAAAACAGAGATACGTTTGTGTCTATGGTTTGAATTTCGCGCAAAGCTATCTGCGCTAGCCGTCCCTAATTTAGCAGTGTAAGAAGGCAGTTAGTCATCACCACCCACTGCCAACTCTTCGGCTACTCTTTTACCAATGAAAAGTTATATTATATCGTCATATTATAACGGTTGAAATGGCGAGTATGTTTGGTGTGACATGGATTCGAACCCGCGACCCGCAGATTGCGAGTTAAGCGCCCTAACCACCTGGCCATGCCGGGTTTTGTGTCTATGATTCAGTTAGCCTAGCACTGTTTGGCCTATAAGATTCTTATTTATGACGTTTAGAAGAGAGGGGTACTTAGGGCTTGGTTCATCATGTATTATATAACTCTCTAGTATACTCATCATTTCATTTTATTAATTTTTTCTTATAATATTATAATATTGAAGAGAGAATGAACGCTACTGAAAATCCTCTCGAAGAGAGATTTTGCTCATTTTTTAGCCAACTTATGTCTATTTTCCGCGTTTTTAAGAGAAAAAAAGACGGAGGAGTGCAGCCTCCTTAAAATAACTCGCAAAACATTTAAGGTAAGATATTTAAAGAGCATTATAAGAGCTTGAAAAAGAAAGCCCATTATGAACTGAGAGTTCACTTTTACTTGTAGATTTTCACCGGATCTGTCGGTCTTTTACCAAGTATGCAGAGCCGGGTATGCAATTTGTCGCTCAAAACATTAGTTAAATTGCATATCTACCATTTAACAGACAAACGTAGCTTGTGTTATTTGTATAATTAGCTACAAATGCAGGAAGGTGTGCTGTACCATGGTTATAATACAGTGAGATACATTTCTCAATCTGTGAATGATCCCTACAACTCATAGACTGGAGATATTTTAGATATGCATAATGCAAAAACATAAGAGTGTTACTAGCACATGTGTTAATGCAAATAAATAAATTGTAATATATTTTTTACGCAGTTGTTTCAAGGAATTAATAGTTCAAACACTGTACCATATGAGCTGCTGTAAAGTCGAGACAGCATAATCTTCTATGTGATCATAAGCTGATCAAGTGATATGTCCAGTTCTATCTCTATCTTTTTGGTTCCTTTGTTTCAAATTCAGTAGCTAGCCCTACATAGCTTTCTTTTATTTTTTATCTAGCGACAATTTTTTCCTTATAGTTTGTTTACTTTTTATAAGATGGCGTACGTGGGTTACTATGTATTCTGGTGTATTCTAAAGCTTTATAAATACTACATAAAATAATACTAAAACAGATAGTCAAAGGTCGTCAAGACTGTTTTTGTTCTATCAAATTATGATACAGTTATACAGTAGGGTTGGGGTTCCGGGGGTTCAAACCCCGCCCTTTTCGATGCAAAGTTCCCTCAATATGATACATATTTTTCATAGTTTTTGGATTTTCTAAAATCTGAAAAGATAAACATTATTAAAAACAACTCGTTATATAAATTTCAATGTGTTATTTTCGCCTTGTGAGGAAACTTCACACCTAAAGTAGAGTCAAATTGACTCTATAGAGGTATTGATCCCCATTTCCCAGGAAAATCATTCCGTTTGTCACATGTATGACCCCATTTATAACTTGGCAAGAAACCGGAAACTCTTACAATGTTGAATGTACTTGTGAACGGGCTCGAGGTCGTCAGTTGTCCATTTGAATGGACAGATTCCTCAAAACTGTATTTAAAAAAAAAATGCCTGTCCATGATTTTTCCCTTTTGTCCATTAATCTCAAATCTGTCTATTCTGAAAGTGCCTGTCCAGGAAAAAATTCGTTTGTCCATTTAACCTAATATCTATTTATTTTTACTCCAAAATTTGTCCATTGCGAATTTTACAATCTTGCTTGAATTCGTTATTGGTATGTACCTATTGTTGCGTGAATCGGGGACAATCAAGTACGTTTACGACCTCTTCCTCCTTCCTTTATGCTTGTTGATATGATATTACGGGAAAATACTATGTTTATTGCTATATCAGGGTCGTGCCTTTCTTCCCAGAGCACGAGTACAGCATCTTCCCCTTTCCAAGGCCATATCCATGTATGTAATGCATTAGTACACAAAATGTTACTGTGTAAAGTGACAGGTCTAACATGCTAGCAATAAGTGACTTGTTCTTATACTTATAATGTTAACTCTTTCGCTATTAATAGGTCAAAGTGCGTATGTCACGATCTTTTACAGTTACATTAAAAATGAATTAAACTACTTTATTATCAATGAATATCAATAAAGTTGGCATTAAAACATAATTCATTAATCAAATTTTAATAACATAACACTTTCTATTTCGTATTTTTAAAAGTATATATATAAATGCTAAACTTCATTTTCTGTATATTTTCAGTCCAAACTATTTATTTCAACATTTTCTGCTACCCCTGAGGCATTTTAACATTCCGTGGGA